CAGTGGAGAGAGGCACCCCGACCCCCCAGATGATGTCCCACTCGCAGTCAGAAGACTCCAAGCTCATCTGTGTGGCATCCCATCCAGTCCAGCAGCACCACCAGGGACTCCTGCTCAGTGACAATTGTATATATATATATATATATATATATATATATATATGTTCTCTAGTGATATTTACTGTATATCTTCTGTAAATAGTTGTAGTAGTTAATTTTAAAATCTAATGTCAATAGTTAAAAATGTTTAATAGTTTATAGTAAATACTTGCTTCTCTAAAAATAAACTGATGTCACTGAGAAGTTGTTTTAAGTTTTCTTAAATAAAGAAGTGATGAAACAGATAATGTAAAAAGGTTAAAAGACTTTAAGAACACACCGACAACAATAACTTTGATAAACAATTTAATAATTTAATTTAATAACAGCAACACAGAACCTCAACTTGTTAAAAAAAAACACAAAAAAATAATAACATCTGTCCACCATCCTCTCCGATAAATGAAATAATCTGTCCACCCTTTCCCGCCTCCCTCTGCCATCTCCTCCCTGATTAAATCCACCAACTCGTCTCTCCTTCTTCTCTTCCTCCTTTCCCTCCTCCCTCATCCTCATTCTCTTCCTCATCTTCACCCTGATGCTGCTCAGCCTCTGCAGCACCTGGCCTTGGTGTGTCCTCAGGGATGGAGGCAATTAGGACAGGTGGGGCAACAGAGGGCCTCCTTGGACACCCCCCTGTCCAAGGATCTTTGCATTCCTAAAGTAGAGGAAAACTATTTGTATCAACAGATGCTATTTTCTGTAGTGTTTCTTTAAAGCTAGAAAAAAGGAAGGTTTCATGATTTGGATGGATTGATGAAATTCTACAGAAAAAGACTTTGGAATGGTAACCTGGAGATTACTTTTTCAAGCTTACTCAAAGTGGAAATTAACATGAATATAAAAAATGAAAGATGAAATTTCCCTACACACACATACATATACATATATATATATATATATATATATATATATATATATATATATATATATATATATATATATTAAGGCTGGGACATTAACGCGTTAATTTCGATTAATTAATCACACAAATATTAACGCGTTAAAAAAATTAACGCATTTTAATCGCACACCACAGTCTCCTGGAAGTCGTTTGGGATTTCACCCAAGTAATTATTTCACCTGTGGGGGCAGCATTAGAACTATGGCCAGAATACCGTCGGACGGAAACTGAAGAAGAAGAACAGAGAAGAATTTTGTTTTAAAATACAGGAGGGAAGAGTCGATAAGAGCGCGGTCATATGTAATGTATGCAACAAGGAATTCGCCTATCACCGCAGCGTATCAAGCCTGAAATATCACTTGAACGCAAAGCATGTAGCAGCTAGCTTGGCAGATACTAGCGTGGAAGCTAGCCCAACTGGGAGGAAGACGAAACAACCCACACTACACCAGCTGACTGGCTTCAAGGGCAGGGTAAGCAAGACCAAGGCCGAGAAAATGACCAACGCGCTGGCTTACTGGGCGGCTCTCGACTGCAGACCCATTGCTGTGGTAGAAGATAAGGGGCTGTCTCAGTGTGAGGATGCCCTAAATCACAGATTTCTACAAGTGGCTACAGCACTCGACCCTCGCTTTAAGGTGTGTAATGGTCTTCTTTATTTTTCTCTTTTATTGCTTATGACTCTTATTTCCTCGGCTCCCTCCCCTCCCCTCTCTTATGGAATAACAACTTCAACATGACTTGTATAGCACATTATAATACATAATTGTCATTCAATGTGCTAAAGAGTAAAAAAATGAAAACAGAAAAAAATAATCCATGTTGTTTTATGGATTAAAGATAATTAACCAACTATTACCAAAGGCAGATGAGAATAATGCTATTTTTAATTTCTTTTTAAAACAAGATGCTGTTGGGGCAGTTCTAATTTGGACAGTTTAGACTTGACCATAGGCACAACCAGTAGAGGAGATTCTGGATGATGGAAACCATGTATACTAATGAATTTCATCCAGCTTGTACTCTGTAAATCTCTGATTAATGTGACCACAAACCTGATTCTGATTCTTATTCTGATCTTAAGGACCTAAAGTGTCTACCAAGAGGAGAGCGAGGAGAGGTGTGGACCAGCATTGAGGCACTGGTGCAACAACAACCAGGCAGAGCCACTCCGGAACGCACAGAGGAGCCAGCAAGGAAGAGGAGCCTCCTGCTGTATAATTCCGACTCTGAATCAGAGGATGAAGATGGGCCCAAAGGAGCCTTGGCCCGCTACAAGGCAGAGCCTACCATCAGTGAAAGAGACTGCCTACTGCAGTGGTGGTCCACTCATGAGAGAGCCCATCCACAGCTCTCTGTCCTGGCCCGCAAGTATCTAGGCAGCCCTGCCACTTCGGTACCCTGCGAAAGATTATTCTCCCTGGCAGGTAATATAGTTCAAAAGAAGAGGGCAGCCCTGAGCTCCGAAAATGTGAACAGGCTAGTATGTCTCAGCAACTGGCTGAAAGAGAGGAAGTAATCAGTTAAATGTGTATCCTTTGGCCAGTTGCGTTTCAAATGGGAAAAATTGGAGGACAATCACTGTCACTTTATGTTGAACTGAACTGTCTGAATGGCCAATGTTATAAAGAGTTGGACTGAATTTCATTTAATTTCTGACTTATTTTTTGTAAACAGTTGAACTGTTGATAAATCCACGAATTGTGTTAAAGCCTCAGAGGCTTTTTGTTCTGAATGTACTTGAGAGTATTGCATTTTTGCGTTTAAAAAGCAGTATTAAGCTCTACCTATACCTATAGAGCTACTTGAATTTCTGAGTTTAGTGTTCCTAAATATGTTGAACTTTAAAATTTGCACTGGCCTGTTGATATTTCTTTAAAAAAAATAAACAATATGTTGTTTATTAAGCTTATGTGTTGTCATTCAAAATCCATCCAAGTATGCGATTAAAATGCGATTAATTCGATTAATTAATTTCACAGCCATGCGATTAATCGCGATTAAAAATTTTAATCGCGTCCCACCCCTAATATATATATATATATATATGTGTGTGTGTGTGTTTCATTACATTATCCAAACCTGAACATACTTTGTATTTTTTTTTTTTAAGTTGTCCCACACAAGGATCACTTCTATCACAAATATGAGATTTACAAAAAGTGGCATCTGAGCATCATTTGATGTGATCAAAAGATTATAATTGTACGTTGGTGTTTGAACAGGACTTATTTTAACTTGTGTGACTTTTACATAGAAATGCAACATGTAGATGGAATTCTGCCTCAACTCTTCGCTCCATCTGACTGCAGCAGTATTTTTGGTCCCGATGATGAGGTGGTCATTTTATCCACTCCTCTGTCTGCTCCCTGGAACAAAATGACATGTAAAGCATATTTCTGTTAAGTCAACAGGTAGAATAACTGTTCTGTATAATTACGCCTGTATTGTTCTTCAAGCGAATTATACTTTAAACCTTATTATACTGTACTGTAAATAAACTATACATTATTGAGTATTAAAACAAAACGTTTACAGTATTAACAGCCCAGTACAGCTGGACTAATGTTATTTCTTCAGCTGCATTAAGCTTTAACAGTTCTAATCCTTTGTAATAAACTGTTTGAGAATAAATAGATCCGATTAGTGAGGGATACGGCTATCAGTACAGTAAGATGTAGGTTAAAATAAAAAATAGTGACATTTGTATGAAGGCTTTAAATTGTTGATGAACATCACGTATCAACAGGTTAGCTCTAAGCTTTAGCTTTAGCTGCTCCTACACATCCCGGTGGCTCCGTTACCGTCATGTATTTTAATAGATGTTCATTAAAAAAAAACAAAAACAAACTACTTACATTTAAAGGTGTTCTCCGCACTACTGTTGGCGCTGCTGCTGCTTTCGGTTGTCCGTAATTTGAAGAAAATCCGACTTTCTTCTTCTTCTTCTTCAACTACTAAAAAAAAAAAAAAAGAAGCCCGCAAAGCACCTCGGAAAATCTAGTGGGAGGCGAGGCCACTAAGGACGGTCGCGATGCATCCTCAGAATTCGGGGAAAAGGAGGACGCATTTTAAGGCTGCATTTTAAGCGTCCTTAGAATTTTTGCCAAATGGGACGGCCTCCACGCAGCGTTGTGACGTCACCGGCCTCAAAATGCGTCCTACCAAGTATGCAGCCTGCGAATTGAGATGCAGCCTGTGTGTTTCTTCTCTCTCCACCACCAGGTGGTGCCCTGTCCTCGTTGAGCCTTCCTGCACACCTGCAGCTCATTGGTTCATTACTGGAGGAGCATTTGAGATCTGGGCTGTGTCATCTGGTCTACAGAGAAGGTGATTGGCTGGAATCTTCCATCTCTCGAGGATGTGTACGCCTCCAGGACTCTGAGGCCTGCAGGGAAGATTGTGGCAGTCGCGGCCTGATTCTGCTGGAGATTTGTGCTTGTTCAGGAGGAGTGAATGCTGCAAGTAATTGACTATATAATCTGCTGGGTTTCCCTAGAAATTTTGAATAATAAAACTATTTTGAATAATGAATTGGTTTTATTGTACTGTTTGTTTGATACTTAAAATCAATTGGAATATATATATATATATATATATATATATATATATATATATATATATATATATATATATATATATATATATATATATATATATATATATATTTATATTTTTTTTTTTTTTTTTTTTTTATTTATTTATTTTTTTTTTCCCCGAATTTAATTGCTGTGTTTTTTGTTAGTCTTTCCAGGTTGAAATATCCTACTGTAAAAAAAATTGCAGGAGTTACATTTAAATGTAGGACACAGAAATGGACAGAATGATTTCAGCAAATAGGATCAGTATGATACTGTTTTGGATGATCTCAATAAATATATGCAAACTTTAATTATTTGTGATTGTTCTCTTTGAATGAAACAATTCTCTCTGAAAACAACACTCACAAAACCATAACAGGACCTGTTAGCATTATAGGTATTATAGATAAAACTTACCTGACTTTAGATATTGCCTGAAGTGAACTAAAAGGCCTCCAAAAACAAGTACGATGATGAGAAGAATCAGGAAAGCTTTGGCCCATGATGAAAATATCTCTGCTGAGAAACAAACATTTGTAAAATCTCTGTAATGTTGGACATTAATGGGCCATTATAGGAATCTGTTTGAATAATATTATTAGCAGGCATATTTGTTACTGTTGTAGCATCCACTGCCCTTTCATGTGATAAATGGGAACAGAATGCAAACAAAGTTTTGCGGTGCCTTTTGGCTTTGTTAAATTCCGGTGTATACTATGTAGATTTACCTAACTTTAGCAGAAACGTATTTCTCTGATCACTATTGACCATACATATAAAAATAGAAATAAATATTCAAAACAAAATCAGGCCATCAAGTCTGATAGAAAAAATAATCAAATAAATTTAATTACAGTAGACGCCATTCAAAATTTCCCCACATGACTAGATGGTTCCTTGTCTGGTTCCCTAAGATTCCTTTTTAAACATCAATATTTGTACTAAAATATTCTTTCTGTCCTGATTTATGGACATTAAGATGTAAAGAGAAGTGCCATCTCCTGGTCAGACGCTGTAATTCAGTGAAGGGTGGAGTCAGAGGAAAAAAAAAATGCATGCACAGGAGAAGGGTTGGAAATTGGCCATTCGGCTGTTGACTGGGAAAGGCTGTTTTTAATGGTTGCTACAGTATCTCTCAAACCTACATATAATAGAGTTTGAACATTTTTACTCTGTACACAATTTTTCTTTTCAGTTAAAAGCAACAACTACTTCAACACTTCTTCCAAAACTAGAATCCCAATTTTTGGCATTAACAGTACGCCATATGTTTACATGTATTACAAAACCTAAGCATGGGCCCACACTGTTTGGTACCGATTTAATTAAGTTGTTGTAGGCTTGTTGAAGCTAGGGTGCGTTGCAACAAATGAAGTCCTCTTCTCCCAGTTCTGCAGTTAACATAGACAGTAACGCTCATTTAACAGGTGTAAGCTCCATCAGCACCTGGAAGCTTTGATTATCCCTCTGTTGTTCCTAGTCCACCTTTACCGCGGAGAAACTTCTCAGCAAACTTGAAGATAGTTTCACCAGTTCCACCCCCCCCCCCCACCCACACACAATCAGCCGCAGTCTCCCTCAGATCAGCCCCGCTTCTCATCTCAGGTTCTTCATCTCCGTCGCGCTTCCACACACCTCACAAGTCGTAGACTAGGAGGGTTGATTCCACATGTTCAAAAAACTCTGGAACAGTTTTGCGTGTTCTCCAACTTGGTTCTCACTCTCCTAAGCTTGGGTCTCCATCAGCGTCCTCTTCCCTCTTTTTGTACTCCCTTCTTCTTCTTCCCATCACCCCCAGTCTGTTTTTTCTCAGCTCCCTGTTGAGTTAATTTATCCTTCAGATTTTGGGGGCTTAAACTCCCCTTGCTACATACTGAGGCTAAGGACTAAGGATATCGCCTACTCCTGCCACTAGAGCGTGTTACTGCTGCTGTTGGTGAGACGTATCGTGTTCATTTCCTGTTCTGACTACTGAGCAGTGTTGTTAATTTTCAGTCTATCTCCGTCTGAAATAAGTTATTTTTCTGTAATATCTTTGTATCTAAGTAACTCTAACTGACCAGAACTACTTTAAAACATAGCACCTTCTGCTGCACTTTTCTACTGAGCACTTGTCAGTTTCACACGGTTTTATTTCTGATAGCAAGGAGTAGCTAGCCTAGGCTAGTGCTAGCTTAGCATTGCTATGGCTTCTCTCTCTCCCTCCCTTGACTCTTTTCCAACTCTTCCTTCTTCCTCTCCTCTCTCCTGCTCTCTGTGTCAGATGTTCAGTTATTCCTCTGCCTCCTTTAGTGATAATGGGATGTGTAATAAGTGTAGTATATTTGTAGCTTTGGAGGCGAGGGTGTCAGAGTTAGAATCCAGGCTTCAGGCTGTTGAACATCCAGGAGTTAAAGTAGGCCCCCCACGTAGCTGTCCTCCTAAAGTGCCTGAGCAGCCAGGCGATTGGGTAACTGTACGCAGAAAGCGTAGCCGTGGATCTCTGCCCACTGGTCACCACCAACCCGTTCATGTTTCTAACCGGTTTTCCCCACTCAGTGACACACCCACTGAGAAGCCCACTCTGGCGATTGGCAGCTCCATAGTCAGAAACGTGGCATTAGAGACACCAGGGACCATAGTCACATGTTGAAACTGCTGGCTAATTTCAATTTTCAATTCAGTTTATTTATATAGCACCAAATTCACAACACATGTCATCTCAAGGCACTTTACAGTTCACCAGATAATCCAGTCAAATACAGCCAAAAACGAATAAATGTGGTCTGTTTAACATAAGCTCACTTTCCTCTAAAAGTCTGCTAGATAATGACTTGATTTGTGATAATCACATTGACTTGTTTTGCCTTACAGAAACCTGGCTGCAGCAAGAGGATTATGTGAGCATAAATGAGGCAACTCCTTCAAGCTATTTAAATTTTCACATCCCCAGAAGTTCTGGGCGAGGAGGAGGAGTAGCAACAATCTGCCAGTCTGACTTACTGATTACTCCCAAAACAATTAATACCTACAACTCTTTTGAACATTTAACCCTTAATTTCCCTGAACCAAATTTCAAGGCAAGAAAACCTCTTCTTTTTGTAACTTTGTATCGTCCACCAGGTCCCTACTCTGAATTTTTAGATGAGTTTTCAGAGTTCCTTTCTGATTTGGTATTAAAAACTGACAGGGTCATCATAGTGGGAGATTTTAACATCCATGCTGACATTGAAGGCGATAGCTTAAGAGCAGCCTTTAATGCTATCTTAGACACTATTGGCTTTGTTCAAAATGTGAATAGTCCCACACATTCTCATCTTCATACTTTGGATCTTGTGCTGACATACGGCATAGAATGTGAAGAAATAACAGGATTTCCTCACAACCCTGTCCTCTCTGACCACTTTCTAATAACCTTCAGGATTACTTTAACAGAGTTCTCCTCCCCCAAAAGAAGGTTACATTTTAGTAGATCTTTATCAGATAGAGCTACTTTCCAGAGAAAGTAGTTGCCAATCAAGTGTGCGATCACTTCCACCATAATGAACTTTTTTAAGAGTTTCAGTCTGGCTTTAGAGCTCATCATAGTACTGAGCTCTGGTGAAAGTCACTAATGATTTTCTCATGGCCTCAGATAATGGACTTGTATCTGTGCTCGTCCTGTTGGATCTCAGTGCTGCAGTTCTGCTCTCACTTGTATGTATCTTACTATGAATATGTGATTATCATGTACATATTCAAAATGTGTAGGTGCAACAAACTGAAAAAATATAATTAAGCAGGAAAGCTTGGATGCCCATAGTTGGCTGTGAATACTATTAGGGCCAGCGAACAGGAATAAGTAAAAAAATCAGCTATGACCAAGTGGTTTAGATCATTTTGTTTCCCAAGCGTGGGTCCTGAGCCAGGACCTTCCCTTTAAGGATTATTGGCGTTTTTTTCTTTTTCCTATGATTTTCTTTTAGTATGACAAAGTTGTAGCAAACCAGCGGAACTTACACACTTCCTCGCAATTAGTTTGCTGTTACACCCACTGCCAAATTACAGCGAGCCTGCACGGATGCAGACTCACTATTTAAGCGCTCAATGGTCCACTCTACCTACTGAGTATGTAGTTTGGGATGTATCTAAATGACTCTCTGTAGTAACATATGTTCCCTGTAAGCAATGGGCTAGTGAGTTTTCATCCTCTCACATGTATAATTTCTCCTTGGTGATTAAAACACACCTAATCAATAATAACCGGAACACAGCACCAGGAAACCACCTGAAGTTCCTTTTGAATCCAAGGAGTACCTTTTAAGGTACCTGGTCATAGTTAGTCAACAACAACAGTGACAAAATGATGTATTAATGACAGTGTTGTTTTTGACTGCTATCTTTCAAATAAGTCTTTTATCAGTATTATTAGTTTTTATTATTAGCTGACTAGGTCGCACCAAACAGGAAAAAAATGTTGAAAAAATCCGGTTTGTCAAATTAAAATGCTGTATGGTAACGACAAATCTGTAACTACCAATTAGAGCATACATTTTGTATAATCCCAGAAAGGAATGCAGATTTATTGGATGCAAACTATTGGTACTTTAACATACCAGGAAGCAGATTTCTCATCTCAATCAAAATATTTATTTTACACTGAGAGGCTTAAAGGTTTAATCAAATCCAGTCACAACAACTACCAAGTGTGAATCTGACAACTTCAAAGAAACTTCTTATCGCAGGTATAGATGAAGAGATGCTGAGTTTGGAAGGAGAGAACAAACTAATGTTGTATGATCCTATTTATCCCCATTACCAAGATCCACAACGAAGATAAAATGTTTGGGCAGAAACATGTATGATTGATGCTGATGGTGAGTTTAATTATGTCATATTAAATTAATGGTATATTTAATACTATATTTCCATACACCACATAAAAGACACATGTTTTTTTGTCTGAAATTAAATCAGATCAAACTTATCTTGTTTAAGGCCAGTTATAATTACGAAAATCATTTCTATTTGCTAAATCCCAGAAAACTTAATAAGAATTTTATTAGAGAATTTTTTGTCACTTTCCTGATATTCTTAAGTGTACATTGTTTTGGTCAGTATCTGGGATAATTGCATTTAAACTTTATGATTTGGGTCAAACCTGCATGTTTTCCTTCCTTATCGGAAGTCCTGATTCATACCTCCAGACAGAACTGGTGGAGCTTAGTCTGGTTGGATTGACGTTTCGTTCTTACCTGCATTTTTTAGATCTCCCCACAACTTCTCCATAAAATAAAGGTTAGGGCTTTGTGATGCCATGCCAAAGCATTGCCTTTGTTGTTCCAATGCTTCCATATAACCCCTCTGGCTGTGTGCTTAAGAACATTGGATATTTGAAGGACCCACTGAGACTGAGCTTTAACTTCCAGATGTATTTAGATGATGCTTAAATGTTTCTTCCTAATGTTCCTTCCTCATGATCCATTTATTCTAGAAAGTTGACCAGTTCCCCTTCTGCAGAAAAACAGCCCCATGACACAATACTGCCACCCATACTTCACAGTTGGAATAGTACAAGCATTGCTGCTATTTTCTCCAGATGTAGCAATACTAATTATGGTCAAACATTTCTACTGTAGTTTCATCAGACCATAGGTCCCTGTTAACATATGCAAATTTTGACTGACCAAATGTATGAACACTTTTCAATTCAACGAAAGTGTTATTTAACCATTCAAAAAGGTAAAGTTTACTGGAAATTTTTCCCAAACTTCCACAGATAAGCTTGAAGCATTCTGCCACACTAACCTTTGAAAAGATGAAGAATGACTTTCTGTCTGACGATGTCCCCTTTCCTGTAGATTGTGCAGATATAAACTCCTGTATCTCTCTCTGTGGGGTATCTGAGGGTCAAACTGAGGTCTCCTCTTTTAACTTTATCTTTACTCATTTCTGTACGATCACAGAATAATTTATCTATATCTTTAACTTTGTTGCTGTCATTGCCATACACATAGGCGATCATGAATTCTGGTTCAGAGCGGGTCCACTCCACAGTGTCTTCCTCCTCCAGATAAGCTGTTGTTTTACAGGGCAGAATGGCAAACTCCACTCCCTCTTCCACCTTTACCTCCACCTGTTGAACTGAAAAGGAAAAAGTCAATTTTACATGTATATATATTGCATACTGGTAGTTCCAAAGACTATGACAAGTGTTACCAATAGGCTGTAATAATATTTGAATTCGTATTATCAGGGTACACGGTAAAATTGATAAGGATTGTTTCGGTACAAAAGGCTTATTAATTTGTCTATGGTGTGACTTTTGTGAAAAAATACTTTTCCATTTCCATTTATTGTTTATTTGAAAGGACACAGTGTACATTAATAAACATTAAAACAATGTAAATATACCCGAGTTAGCTAAGGAGTGCTAATTTTCATCGGTAGTCCCCCAGCCAGATATTAAAAAGGCAACCTTAAAAATAAACACAAGTATAAAATCACAAGATTAAATTACAATACCAATTACATAAAAACATTATGGTTAAGAAGTAAAATGTATGTAAAATTATTAAAAATTTATTGTAAAATTATTTGAATACACACTAAAAACCTTAGTGCCCACAAATTTGGCTCTCTACAAGCCATTTTTTTTGCATTCTTTTTAAATGAAGAGAATGACAAAGAGTCTCTGATGGTTTCTGGCACTGTGTTCCATTGCTGAGATGCTCTTACGGAGAAGACAGCCTGACCAAAGGCTGTTTTTCTCTGGGGGATGATGCAGTCTTCCCTCACTGCCCCTCTGGTTACCCTGACCTCACTGGATCTGAACTGTACAAAGTCACATAGTGGAGGTGGTGCTAAACCATGTCTGATTTTATAAATTAAACAGATGTTTTTCAACTTGATAAGATTGTTCCAGGTAAGTAACTGATATTTCCTCCGAATACTACAATGGTGGTAGTGGTAAGGTTTTTTTATCCAGTATTTTTAATGCTTGTTTATATAATGTTTCTAATGGTTTTATTGTAGTAGAGTGAGTATTGGACCAACTTATTATACAATATGTTATATGGGATAAAATCATGGAGAAAAAATATGATTTAGCAGCTTCAGTTGAAAGAAAATCTCTAATGAATCTGAAGTTTGCTAAACTAAACTTAATCCTATTATGAACCTTTTGGATATGAGTTTTGAAATTGAGATGCGAATCTATATGTAATACCTAAATATTTATATTCAGTGACGACCTGTAATCTTTCTCCAGATATTAAAATTTCCGGTTCTATATTTATGAGGTTGTTTTTTGAAAAAAACATGGTAACTGTTTTAGATATGTTCAGATGCAGACAGGATTGCTCAAGCCAGGTTGAGATCAGTGACATGGCCTCAGTTAGTTTTGCAGCAACTTTCTCTGTGGATTTTCCATAAGCCAAGATAGCTGTGTCGTCTGCATACATCAAAGTGTCACAGTTCTTGCACACAGATGGTAAATCATTAATATATAGACTGAAAAGAATTGGTCCTACAATTGATCCCTGTGGAACACCAGTTGATAATAGTAAGGGGGTGGAATTGTATTGGTCAATTCTTACACTTTGAGAACGAGATGAAAGGTATGAACTAATGAGGCTAATGAATTTGGAGGAAAAATTAAATGCACTGAGTTTGTACAGTAAAATGGAATGATTAACTGTATCAAAAGCTTTAAGAAGGTCTAAAAAAATTGCTCCCACTATCCTTCCTTTGTCCATATTGGATTTAACCTTTTCCAGAAAATAACTTGTTGCCGTCTCTGTAGAATGATTAACCCTAAATCCAAACTGCATTGAGTGTAAAGGAAAGGAACTGCAATTAAGATGATTAATGATTTGTTTAGCAACCAGTTTTTCAAAAACTTTAGATACTGTTGGCAAAATGCTAATAGGTCGATAATTAGATGTCAGAAGAGAGTTACCACCTTTCATTTCATTTCATTTCATTTCATTTATTTTGAAACATGACATGATTTTACAATGTTTGCATAGAATGCTACCTAAACATACAGCATGTTTCAAAAAGGAGCAGGATGAAGCATAAGCTTATTAAACCCTACCCCTCAGTTACATAAGTCATGGTGGTAAAGGACGATTACAGTAAGACAAACAGTATAACTTTTTGTGCATTATTCTTTTTTGTATTCATCAAAAATACTTTTCTTATATTGTTTTTTGAATTGCTGGATGCTTTTACAATGTTTAATGTTTTCAGGCAAGCTGTTCCAGAGCTTCACTCCACTAACTGATAAACTGAAGGTTCTTTTTGTTGTTCGAACACACTTAGTTTTGAAATGTAATTTTCCTCTTAGATTATATTTTCCATCTCTATCTGTAAACAATTTTTGTATGTGTGCAGGAAGTAATTTATTTCTTGCTTTATAAAGAATTTGAGCAGTTTTGAAATCGATCAGGTCTACAAATTTAAGAACTCTTGAATCTAGGAATAAGCAGTGAGTGTGATCTCTATAATGTTTATTATTCGTTACTCGTATTGCTTTCTTCTGCATAATAATCAGTGGTTGAATGTTTGTTTTGTAAGTGTGGCCCCACACTTCAACACAATAGGTTAAATATGGGAATGACGCTAGCAAATTTCCATGGCTCAGGAAGTTTTTAGGAATGGACGTCTACAGCCATCTCACAATATCTATATTGGCACCTGAATTTAAGGAACAAATATATTTCTCTAAAAACTGAAAAATGTGCACAATTATTACGCAAGTTTTAGTTTTGAGGATTTATTTTGTTGTTGAACAACTGCAGAACTCTTGGTCCAAAATGTTAATAACCTCTCAAACCTGAATATTCAAGAAAGTAAATGTGAGATTTTTGCTTGAAAAGGATCTATGTCTGTTTGATTATTTGCTACTGTCTTGTTTAATATAATCAGTTAAAATAAGAATATTAAACATACAACTCAAAAAATTTCTGGCATTTAGAAAATAAATCACTGACCAATAAAGCCTTTCCTTCTTTTCCTTAACACTTATGTTTGCATTTCATGGAGGCTGGTCAGTTTCTTGAGTCTTCAGATATGTCTTGGCCCAGCCTTGACGTTTCTTAAGTATCTTCTCCAACAGTGGTCAGGTTTTGGTCTTCTTTAGCTTGGTCAATTCTATTCAGTTTATTTCTATAGCTCCAATTCACATCATGTCATCTCAGGTCACTTTCCAGTTCACCAGATCCTCCAGTCAGATTGATTCAAAGTTTTCTATTTAAGGAAAACCAGCTGATTGCATCGACTCATTGACTCTTCAGCAATCCCTCACACTAAGCATGCTTGTAGCGACAGTGGAGAGGAAAAACTCCCTTTGAACAGGAAGAAACCTCCAGCAGAACCAGGCTCAGTGTGAGCGGCCATCTGCTGAGGCCCACTGGGGTTCAAGGAGACAGAAGCAGAGATACAAATACCAGGTCCACAGGCGGCCCCGTCCAGGAAACATACAGCCAGGAAGACGAGCTTTGAGCCAGCTCCCATGTCAGAGGATGAAGAGAGCACATCCAGTTAGTCACAGTCAGAAATTAATCCCATGCTCTCTAATAACTCTACCAACTGAGAGCATATATAAAGTAAAGAGAATTGGTCCTAGCACTGATCCCTGTGGTAATCCACAGGTAACCTTTGAGCATGAGGAAGATCTGTCATTAACATGAACAAACTGAATTTGATCAGATAGATCAGATTTAAACCGGTCTAGTGCTGTTCCTTTAATTCCAACAAAATATTCAAGTCTTTCTAAAAGAATATTATGGTCAACTGGATCAAATGCAGCACTGAGATCCAACAGGACGAGCACAGATACAAGTCCATTATCTGAGGCCATGAGAATATCATTAGTGACTTTCACCAGAGCTGTTTCAGTGCTATGATGAGCTCTAAAGCCAGACTGAAACTCTTCAAAAAGTTCATTATGGTGGAAGTGATCGCAAACTTGTTTGGCAACTATTTTCTCAAGAATTTTGGACAAGAAAGGAAGATTGGATATAGGTCTATAATTGACCAAGTCATCTGGGTCAAGAGACGGTTTCTTAAGCAGAGGTTTGATTCCAGCAACCTTAAAAGCTTTAGGTACATATCCATGTAACAGAGATAGATTAATCACATCTAAAATGGAGGAGCGGATCAAAGGGAATACCTCCTTAAATAACCTGGTTGGAACTGGATCTAACATACAAGTTGAAGGCTTAGATGAAGACAATAGTTTTGCTAATTCTGAAAGTTCAACTGGATCAAAGCAGTCTAAACCCGGTTCAGATTCCATGACTACCTCAGATACAATCACGGATAGAGGAGTGCTAATGATCTTATTTTTAATAAGATCAATCTTATTTATAAAGAATCCCATAAAATCATTGCTGCTAAGAGCAGGTGGAATGGACGGTTCAACAGAGCTATGGCTCTGGGTGAGTTTGGCAACTGGATTAAAAAGAAATCTAGGATTATTCTTATTCTCCTCTATTGATGAGGAGAAATATGCTGCTCTTGCTTTACAAAGGGTCCTCTTATACAGCAGTAAACCATTTTTCCAGACTAGGAAGGACTCCCGCAGGCCTGTGGAGCGATATTTTCTCTCCAGTTTCCTAGCATTTTGCTTCAAAGTACGCAGCTCTGCATTAAACCAAGGAGCAAGCTTTCTATTTTTAACGGTTTTCATTTTCAAAGGAGCTGCGTTGTCTAAGGCAGAACGCAGAGAACTAGTAACCCCATCAACAAAATCATCAACCTGTGAAGGGAAATAAGCTATGCTTTTGCACTCTGCAGCACTGCTCAGCGACACAGAGGAGAGAGAAAGTGAAGCAGATTCTTTAAAATGTATAACTGCACTATCTGATAAAGATCTACAAAAATGTAACCTTCTTTGGGGGGAGGAGAACTCTGTTAAAGTAATCCTGAAGGTTATTAGAAAGTGGTCAGAGAGGACAGGGTTGTTCCGAAGTCTCCCTGCTATCAATAGTTGTTCACGGATGCCTGCGAGTGTAATGAACCGGATACGGAACCAAGATTCACCACAACAGGTCAGGGACCGGACAGGAACAGGTAGTTTGTCCAGTTGTAGATTCAGACATCCAGCTGATAAGCAGAGGGGATTTCAGCGGGTTTGT